ACATCTTCTTCCCCCCTTGTTCCACCACTTTGGAGTCAGATGCACATAAGAATTTGGTTAGAAAGAAAGCCCGCACCGAGGCTACGTTATCCAAGGGGATATGCTGATTAGGGTCACCATCTGTGCCAATCCCCCTTGGGATCACAAGGGTTTTGCCTCGCAACGGTTTCTTTACTATTTCTGCCAGGATCCTAACTGTGGTGCTGCCCTACCAGTAGACTCGGTGCCCTTTGGTTCCACTGCCCCTCCTTGCCCGGCTGACGCCGACAATTTCGTAGCCGTGTCGGCCCAAGACCCCAGCCGTGTTGCTATATTGCCATTTGCACTCTTCTCCATGCCACTTGTCCCTCCTTGCATGGGCAATGATGATTGAAGGTCTTTGTGGCAGGGGGCGGGTGGGGCCAGCGGATGAAAAGCCCCTATCATCGTGGTGCGAGGATGATCCCCCGATTTTTCTCCTTTTCTGTTAGTTGTGTTAACGCCATCTGTCCGGCAGGGAGATCCGGCTGGTCTTGTCCCGGCTGACAAAGGGGACCAGTCGAGGGCCCGGGGGACTACGTGACACCTGCGGCCTAGGCCGCGGGCAATTCGGCCGCTGCGGCCGATGAGGCCCGGTCCGCAACCTGTTTTTTTAATATATTTGTTTTACCCCTAAAAATACATAAAAACAAAACAAAAAATGTAGGGGTGTAGGGCTTGGAAAACCCTACAATCCTATGTTTTTTATTTTGGAATCTGACTTCGTTTAAGATTTTTTAAAAATGACAAATGAAATTCGATTTAAACAAAATATAAAAAAATAAATAAAACGAAAAGGAGGATTTTTTTTTTGCCATTTTTTTATCATGAGGGATATGGTCCCTGAGTTGTGCTGTATTTTTTTGAGAAATAATTTTCGGTTTTTTGTAGGGAAATTAGGTGTTAAAAAAAATGAAGCTGCAAAAATTTAAAACAAATAAAGAAAAAAAGGGTTGATTGATTGATTGATTGATGTGATTGATTGATTGATTGATTGATTGATTGATTGATTGATTGATTGATTGATTGACTGATTGATTGATTGATTGTGTGTGTGTGTGTGTGTGT